GGTAACTTTAACATCTTAAATCATTATAAGAAATTTTGTAAACTAAATGTAATCAATTATTTGTTAACGGGTTTTTACCCATATATTTAGTGGCTACATCCATGTACTCTTAGACACTGATGATGGAATATGAATTCCGAAAACGTTTTGTCTGTTTAACTTAGCCCGTTTGGGTTCTTAATATATACCTTTTACAAAGGATTTTAAATAAATTTTTTAATATATGGTATACAGCCAACTACAGGAACGTAGATTCCTTGTGGATTTTTAGAAACACTTTTAACCTACATAAAAAGATCAAAAACTTAACGGGAGGAAATGGATCACGAAGTCATAGGTTAATACTAGACGAGCACAACAATCTGCTCTGCGAAAATGAGAGAATACTTGAGAGATGGAGGAAATACATGGAAGAATTATTCAAAGAAGAGCAAGAGACAGAAGTAAGTATTTCTGGATGTTCAGGGCCAGAAATGACGCTCAGTGAAGTAACATAGGCAATAAAAAGACTAAAAACCAACGAAGTACCAAGACCTGATAACATACAAGCTGAAATATTCAAACTATTTGAAAACAACCAACTCAAACTCCTAACGAGACTACTGAACAAAATCTATGAAACTGCAGAATTGCCTACAGATTGGCTAGTTTCCACCTTCATCCACCTTCCCAAAAAGGCAAATGCCACCAGATGCTCTAATTACAGAATTATAAGCTTAATTAGCCATGCACTCAAAATCCTTCTTTCTGCTGTTCACTTTCGCATATATAGAAAACTTGAAGAAAACATTAGTAGTGTTCAGTTTGGATTTAGAAGCGGACTGGGAACGCGAGAGGCCCTATTTTTCATACAAGTATTACTACAAAGAGCTCGAGACGTAAATTGCGAAGTCTACGCATGCATTATAAACATTGAAGAAGCATTTGACAAGGTGCAACATCAAAAATTATTTCAGATACTGAAAGAATCTAGTATTGATGACAAAGATTTACGCCTAATTAAAAATTTATACTTACAGCAAGGGGCAACTTACGTACGAGTAGACAACGAAACCTCACAAGAATTCATAATAAAACGGCTAATAATAATTCATAGCTAATAAAAAACCCTTGAAAATAGTCGACAAAATTACATATCTTGGATGCAGCCTAAATAAGGAATGGGACGAAATGTGGTGCTACCGCCACAAGTTCAGAATTTCCTATATCCATCATGTTACAAACAACACCGTGATCCAACATATAAATAAAGATCTGGAAATTATGCCTATCGTGAAAATTAGAAAGAAGACATACTTAGGGCATGTGATGCGCAATTAGAAGTATCAACTAATTCAACTAATTTTACAAGGCAAGATAGAAGACAAAAGATCTCAAGGGCGCAGAAGGACATCGTGGTTAAAGAACATCAGACAGTGGGCAGGAATGACTACCATACATCTATTTAGAGCAGCTGTCAACAAGGTTGTATGGACCAACGTGATTGCCAACATCCACAGTCGTTGACCTTTCGATTTCCACTTCGGAAATCGTTCTCCAAATACAAAACATTAATACATTAAACAAATTTTTATTTTTGTTACTTAATGAAAAACTCTTCTAGTAATTTAATTTTATCTGGCTCATTCATATTGACAATTCAGACATATTATACATTTTAAATAAAAAAAGAAAATACCACTATTAGTAAGTCAGTAACATATCGAGTTAAAATGTACGAACGTGATAAATAATTGTAAAGTAATTTAATAAATTGATAATAAATTATCGTGAGTTTTAATAAATTAGAATAAAGACAATAAATTAGAACTATAAAAAATATAACAATACCTACATCATTTACGTTTTTAACCCTTTCACTCACGGCGTGGACACACATTTCTACGCGCTCAGTTGTACGAAATTATAAGAGTATGACTGTTTGCTAATGTTGTCCACGTTAAGGGACCTCTAAATATTCCTTATTCATGCACTAGATCCCATCTGTTGGCAAGTAGAAGAAACGATCGGAAAAGTTTTAGTAAGATTCTGGCCATTGTGCAGACATCTATACCGCGCAAAGAACAGTAATTTATTTTTAGACTAGGTGACTTACCCACATGTTGTAAGAATTATTATATATTCGAAAAGGTGCATTTTTGTGGAATACGTAGTTGTAAGTGGAATAAATTGATTTTTGGCTTTGTATTCTTACTGAAAAGTGACGTCCTCACTTGTGGACTCTGTGAGTAAACGGGTTCTTCTAGAGTAGGTAAATATAACCTGTCCATTCATAGTACTTGTTGGAATAAATATATTTGTAATATTTCAGTAGCCAGCATGGACTTAAAACGACCTTTGACCCATGAGCAGCTGCTTAATATAATAGAAAATCTTTCAGATATTGAATATGTGTCAGACGACGGTGATGACATTGATGCTTTGGAGCAGATATTTGAAGATTTGGAAGGTAAAAATATTTATTTTGAAGTAATATAAACAACTAATAATTATTTATTTTCAGGAGAAACTGAAGAAGTAAACTTACAAACAGGAAATAGTGGTCCAGATGAACTTAATATTGAAGATGAACCTCTCGCAGTGGAAGTGGAGCCTGTGGGCCCTGTGGCCGCTGCAGGACCAAGCACTTCTCAGGCATTTTCTGAAGGTAAGATCAGAGTTCATGATTACCTTATAAATAATCATCTTACCCCTAAGGATGATATCAAATGGCGTACCAAAGTGAGATATCTCACTCCAACCATCCAGTGGTTTGTAGAAGATGTAACGCCAGTTGTAGAATTGGAGAGCCCTTATGCTATCTTCTGCAAGTACTTTACAAGAGATTTATTTGAACGTATGGCAGAGTTTACAAACCTGTATGCTGTACAGAACCAAATACGATTTTCCCCAACGAATGTAGAGGAAATGCAAATTTTCATTGGTATACATATACTTATGGGAAATTTACATTATCCTAGAATCCAATTTTGTTGGGATGCAAAATTACGAGTGCCCAAAATTGCTGAGAGTATGCCTCTAAATAGATTTTACACCTTGAGGCAAACTTTACATTTTGTGGATACAATAGATAACGTTGAGCATCAGGATAGGTTTTGGAAAGTTCGTCCTTTGTACGAAACAATACGCGCCCGTTTGCTGTCACTTCCATTGGAGACAAATCTGTCAATTGATGAACAAATAGTGCCGTTCAAAGGATCACTCAATTTGAAGCAATATATAAAAAACAAACCAAATCCATGGGGAATAAAAATATTTGTAATTTACGGTGCAAGTGGGCAGATGTTCGATTTTATAATTTATCAGGGAGCTAAAACGGAATTGGATCAAACACAAATGACAGTTTTCGGACAAGGCGCAGCTGTCGTTTTGAAGCTGTGTGATCGCATCACAGAGGATAATTGCAAAGTCTATTTTGATAATTATTTCTCTAGTTATTGGTTGTTACAAATTCTGCGCCAAAAAAGCATCTTTGCCGTTTGTACTGCACGGCAAAATAGATTCAGTAGCCCTAGCTCCTCTGCTGATAAAGTAATGAAAAACCATGGACGTGGTAGTGCAGAAGAAATAATCAGCAACGATGGGGAGGTAATCATGACAAAGTGGTATGATAACAAACCTGTAATAATGGCATCTAATTATATAGGAATTGGGACGATCGACAAGTGTAAACGATGGGACAAAACAAACAAGACCTATATAGAAATAAATAGACCACAGGTAATAAAGGATTACAATTTGTCAATGGGAGGTATTGACAAATTCAATTTCTTACTAACATTGTACAGGACCTTTATTAGGTCACGTAAATGGACATTGCGAATGCTCACACATGGTATAGATTTAGACAAATGCATGGCTAGAATATAGTAGGCAAGCAACAAATTTGCAAATACCAAAGCAAAGAATCTTAGATTTGGTGCACTTTCGCGCAGAAATTGCTGAAGTTCTTTTAGCTATAGAAAAAACAGTCAATAAAAAAAGGGGACGACCGCTTTCGATAAGGCCTGAACCAAAAACACCTAAAAGAAAAAACATTGAAGTCCAGTGAAGGAAGTAAGATTGGACAATGTAGGACATTTAGCTTCTATTGATAAATTGAAAAATGCTTCGCGTTGCAAGAAACCCGGATGCAACGGAAAATCTCGTACATCTTGCCTCAAATGCAAAGTTCATTTATGTTTCACCAATATTAACAATTGTTTTGTGGAGTACCACAGTATATAATGTGCATTGAATAAATATTATCATTGTTCTCATTATTTATTTTTTCTCTAACCCACAGTCTTTTTACCCCGTTATCTCACAATGTCCTTATGTGTGGACATGCTATTTTTCAAAAATGGAAATACTTTTTGACTTGGAATAAACTCCATAAATTCAAGTAACCAATATTCAAAATTTCAAATTTTTAGGCTGAGTTTAAAAAAATCATGAGCGAAAGGGTTAAAGGTGTTTGGTGTTTATTGAGAATAAACTAAATGTAAGTACTTACCATGTCGGGATAGTATTATGATGTTTTTCCTGGTGTTTCCTCGTGATTTACTATCGAATCACTACAGGAACTCACCTCAGATATATTGGTAATATCATTTTAAAATCGTCTAGTTTAAAATGTATAATATATGTCTGAATTGTCAATATGAATGAGTTAGATAAAATTAAATAATTAGAAGAATTTTTCACCAAGTAGCATAAAACAAAATTTGTTTAATTTATTATTATTTTGAATTTTTACAACGACTTCCGAAGTGGAAATCGAAACGTCAAAAGTGAAACTGAAACCAACATGTAACAAGAATGAAAACGACGAAATAGTAAACATTGTAAGAGCCGGAAGACCAACAAATAAGAGTCTAACAGGAAAATGTCTAAACAGCTGGAAACAACATTCACAAACATCCAGCAAACACAAACCATAAATCTTACAGTAAGAAAAAAATAAAACAGCAAACTGTTTCATATTTTATTTGTTTAATATTTAGCTAATAAAAGCTACATTATTGACCGTTTTCTCTTTTCCAATTCTCAAACAGAGCTTCATTCCCGTTCACCACTTCGATGAGTTTGTGTCCAGCGTTGGTTTTTTGTTCGTAGATAAGAATTCGCTTGTTTTCTTCTAAAGTATTAAGTATATCGCCTTTTATTTGATTCGTGTACAGATTCTGGTTGGGTTTGTTCCATGTCGTGAGGAGGAGTTTGAATTGTGCTATAAATTTTTCGTTCAGCAGCACTCCAAGATAGAGACTTAATCTAAAAAATGTATTAATAAAATGTATTTTTTGCAGCTAGAATATTTGAAGAATAAAAGAATAATAAACAATCAGAAGGTTAACTTGCACATAATTTATAAGTATGCACATCTGACTCGCGCAGATAGCTGCCGCCATTCTCTAAGTGGGTCCAGTAGCGTCGTGGTATAGTTAGTTATTATAAATACCGATGTATCACTGGATCAGTTTTTTATATTCTTAAAGATCCAATAGGTTAAGTGGCTTAAGTTATCTGCTAAGCATAATTTCATCCCTTTTACCAACATCTATATATTCGAGTCAATAGCAAAAATATTCGTTAAAATACTAACAAGATCTATTGTGACCTATTTTTGTTAAATAAGTACCTTGCTGAAATTTGAAACGAAAGTGCTTTTGAAGATTATTGAGCCTTTCCAGGAGCAGTATGGGGCTACAGAATCAGCATGAACTTTCAGCTCTACGATTAAATTAAACACGCACATATAAATAATAATAGCAAAATTAAAGTTTTATTAAATCTCATACCACTGGTTGGCTTGACCACTTATTCCAAATGATCAATGAAAGAAATACAAAAGATATCTTCGAAGGTTATAGTTAGCGCTAGAGAAGGAAAATAAATCTGTATCACATAGTGGCTGCCTGAAGCAATTAAAATGTATTAAATATATCGACGAAGAAACAGTTATATGCTGTGATGAAAGTGTTAGGTTAAGTAATCCATCAAACGAAATCTTGGATAAAGAGGCTGACGATGAGGATCCGAGGATAACTGAAATCAGGTGCTTAAAGAAAATTATTAATCAGAATGATATTGTAATATCAAATCAACAAATAACGATAAATTTACTAAAAAAACAACTAGATTTATTTAAATATATGCAATTAACTGACCAGTCGCCATCTACTCAACAAAATATGAATTTAATAAACAATTCTAACAGAAACCTCAATTTTGAACGACCGATACAGTCTAGCAGTAAAGAATACCCAAAAAACAAAAAAAACTACACCCGCAAAAAATATTGCGGTTAATGAAAGTCTAGCTGTTGATAAAGAAAGGAGTTCCCCAACAAAAACTGTCTTTAAAAATGTTACCAATAAAAATAAACAAGTTGTTTCCTTAATCGAAAATGATAAACAATTATCAGCTGATATTTTAAAAATAAAAACGGAAGCAAAATGTTCAGATATTATTAATTTAACAAACGATGAAAATTTGATAGATATTGAGAATACAAATTCAGCTACAAATAATAGTGGGCAAGAATGGAAAATGGTTAGACACAAAAAAAGGTATGGACATTTTGTTATAGGTAATAATGAGAACTCAGAAATCAGTGGTGTCCCAAAATTTAGCCATCTCCATGTTACTAGAGTAGACCAACATACAACGGCAGAAAATCTTAAGATGTTAGAAAAACACTTTCCAGAAGTAATATGTACGTCGTTAACGGCTAAGCATCCCAACATATATTCATCTTTTAAAGTTTCAATTTTTGAACAAAATTTCGGTAAAGCGATGGACCCAAAACTATGGCCAGTAGGCTCTTATGTAAGTAGGTTTTTTATGAAGCGCTCAACACATACGCAAATAAAGTGAAGTATGAAGAATTGACTTTTAAACAGGAAAAAGGAAGGGATGAGTACGATCTCTTACTGTCAAATATTCAGGGACTAAATCAATTTAAAATGGATTATTTATTTGCTGATTATAAGGAGTCTGATTTGAAATTTCTTTGTATGACTGAGACGTGGGCAGCAAATGACGAAGTGATTCATTATAATTTTCCAAATTTTAAAATTGTAAATTCTTTTAGTAGATCCCAATATAAATGTGGTGGCGTTGCAGTTTGAGCAAGAGATGATATGAAGGTTAATTCTATTTTACTCGATCAGTACTGTGTTGAAAAATACATTGAGGTATGTGGGCTGAAGTGGCATTATAATTCAAATCAACACACAATTTTAGTTTGCTACAGATCTCCTAAAGGTAAATTTGATGTATTTTATGAAAAACTTAACCTTATTTTAAATTCAAATTTTAAACCAAATCAATTTATATTTTTAACAGGCGATTTTAATGTAAATTCCATGACACTAAATAATTCACACAGATTTTCTGGTCTTCTAGCATCTTATGGTTTGTCACCCAGGAACTTTACATCTACAAGGTCCACTTCGACATGCGGAAATATTTTGGATCAGGTATATACAAATTGTGATAATTGTGTAGGTACTGTAAATGTAAATACTGAATCGGATCACGATATATTCCTTTTAAGATTGAATTTTATTAATCTAACTATGACTACAGTTCGAAATACTTTCAGAGTAACACATGAAGGCGCTATAGATGCATTCAACAATCTCTTGAGTAAAGAAACATGGCAAGATGTTTATCATTACTAGGATTACAGATTCAGATATAATATCAAATAAATTTAATGATTACTTTATAGATGCATCAGTGGATATAATTAGTAAAATATTTAAACCAAATTTAAATTTTCAGCATTCCAATGATTTTGTTCAAAGTAGTTTGTTCCTATCTTATGTAACAGAGGAAGATGTCTTAGATATAATAAAATATAAAATTAAAAACAAAGCATCGTGTGGGTTTGATGAAATATCAGGTATAGTAATTAAGAAAATTGCGTCTCAAATTTTGACACCACTGACTCACATTATAAATGCTTCTTTCAATACTGGTGTTTTTCCCAATATGCTGAAAACTTCTATCTATGAATTAATGTCAAATTTTCGACCATTGTCTGTTCCATCTGTGATATCTAAGATTATTGAATATGCAATGCTAAAACAACTTTTATTATTTTTAGATATCAACCAAATTATCACAAAGCATCAACATGGATTTCGAAATAAATTTTCTACTTCCACAGCCATTAACAGTTTTTATGAGGAAGTCTTACTCTCAATTGAGAACAGTGAAAATCCAACTGCCATTTTTTGTGATCTCAGTCGTGCATATTATTGTGTGCAACACGATGTGCTCCTCGATAGATTGTACAGATATGGTGTTAGGGGAGTTGTCCATAGTTGGTTTGTTTCCTATCTGAAAGACCGGCACCAAATAGTTAAAGTGAAAAATAACTTCAAGATTTCAATGTCTGATCCGATTATTAATAAGAATGGAGTACCACAGGGCTCAATATTGGGCCCTATATTATTTATTTTGTATATTAATGAACTACCACATGTAATGCCTGATGCATTTGTATCAGTTTATGCGGATGACTCAACAATGCTATATCGCGATAAAGACATAAATTTTTTACAAGATAAAATAACAAACTCTCCGAAGACCTTTTCTGATTGGTCCAGTAATCAGTCGCTCCTGTTCAATGTTCACAAAACTAAATTGTTATCATTTACATCACGTTCAAATTCAACTAAACCTGATTTAAGTATTTCCATCAATAATGAGGATATTTTGAGTTTTAGTGATGTGAAGTTTTTAGGAGTGACTTTCGACTCTCATTTATCTTTTAAGACTCATTGTTGGAATGTATGTAAAAACTCAATTCTAAATGTTATCAATTGAGCAATTTGGGTAGAATACTTAGTCTGCAACACCGTCTTTTTTATTTTGCTGAGGTACAATCGACAATAAGTTACGATATAACTGTCTGGGGTGGTTCTTCTAGTGTAAAGGACGTTTTCAAGGCCCAAAAGCGTATTGTCAGGTGTATAGCAGGTGTTCCGTATGGTTGGTCTTGTAAAAACCTATTTAGAGATTTGAATATATTAACAGTGTATGGAATTTACATTTTGGAATTATTGATACTAATTCATAAAAATAAAAGAACTTTTTTATGTAACAGTGATATTCACTTACACAACACAAGAAATAAGAGACAGTTTGTAGTACCCTATCGACATTTAGAAATAAGCAGGAAGTCATCTACTATCTGTGGTTTACTACTGTATAATCAACTTCTTCAAAATTTTACAAACATTAATTCAACTACAGCTTTTAAAAACCAAGTCAAAGAGTACCTAGTGACCATGTGTCCTTATACATTAGGTGAATATTACGAGGGTGTATCTGTGAATGCCTAAGCTGTAACATAACCAAATTTATTACTATTTTAATTATATGTCTATATTGTACGTTTTTTAAGTATTTTAATGTTTTAAATATTTTTAATGTATTGTTTCCATTTTTTGTAATATTTAATATTTATAATTTTAGTTTTGACTTGCTGTAAACCTAGTTGTAACTTACAGTCAAATAAACTATCTATCTATCTATCTAATGTAAAGAAGACAAAACTCATGATAATGCGCAAGAAAACCATAAAATAAGGTCAACTTTACGTCAAATAAATCCCAGTAGAAAGATTGAAAGCACTACAACTACTTCGGCACCATAATAAATAAAGAATGGATCAACAACCAGAAGATAAGAGACTTTTCCGTGCATTGGAAAAGCCAGATGAGGGCCTTCTTCAAAAGCCACAATCTATCTCTTAGTACAAAAGAAAGAATGCTGCAATGTTACTTTTCCTCTTTTCTGTTTCATGGTGTTGTATCCTGAACCTTAAACGAGGATATATGCAAGAGATTGGAAGCGTTTGAGATGTGACTATATCGAATAATACCCAAGATCTCGTAAACTTACCGAATTATAAATGAAGAGGTCTTCAGAAAAATTAAGAAGAACCGTGAGGTACTTACCTTCATTAAAACTCGAAAGCTGCAGAACTTCGAACACATTATGGGAAATAAAGTATTCCCCTTCTACAAGGCATCCTGCGGGGTAATTATTTGGAAGGCGAGGTCCAAGAACAAGAAAAATATCCTGGTTACAGAACAGCAAAACCTGGATTAACATAACATCTGTGCAGCTTGTCCATGCTTTTTCGCAAACAAGCTAAAGATTGTCATGATGATCGCCAACAGTCTTCACGGAAAGGCACATCAAAAAGATAAAAATCGAAAAGCAAAGCTCCAAAAAATAATTTACTTAGTGAC